TCTGGTGCGAGCATGATTAACCGGATTTGCAGCTAGGTATGTAGCAAAAACATTATCACACAAGATGAACGGGCGATGTGAGAGCTTGATGTGAAGTTCAGACAGAAGATTCTCCATCCAGACGGATTCAGCCAACGCAGAGGCAATAGCACGATACTCAGACTCAATAGAAGATCAAGACACAGTGGATTTTTTCTTGGAAGACCAGGAAACTAGTGAGGAGCCCAAGAAAACACAAAAACCAGTCGTAGAGCGACAAGTAGTAGGGCATCCAGCCCAATCATCATCGGAATATGTAACAAGGCGATCAAGGGGGCCAGCACGGAGATGTGTACCAAAGTGAAGTGTGCCCTTAATGTAACGGAGAATGCGTTTGACCGCCTGAAAGTGCTGCTCACGAGGATCATGCATATGTTGACAGACAAGATTAACCACATACTGAATATCTGGTCTGGTGAAAGTAAGATACTGTAATGCACCCACCAAGATTCGATAGAGAGTCGGATTGTGAAAAGGCGGGGACTCATCAACCGAAAATTGAAAAGCCGGAGCAAGTGGAGTTGCAACTGGATTGGCATCGGTGAGATGACTGTGAGCAAGCAACCCCTCAGCATACTTGCGTTGGTGTAAAAACCAACCACCACAGTGAGGAGCAACAGAAATACCAAGGAAATAGCTGATGGGACCAAGATCCGTCATTGCGAAAGCTCCTTTCAGCGACTGAATAATAGTAGTGAGGAGATGATTGCTAGAAGCTGTCAAGAGAATGTCATCAACATAAAGTAACAAAACAGCCATATCCGATCCAGAAGAATACACAAACATGGAAGTGTCCGAGCGACTGCCTTTAAAACCCTGTGTAAGCAGAAAAGCAGTGAAACGATGAAACCAAGCTCTGGGAGCTTGCTTTAAGCCATAAAGAGCTTTGTTCAACCGACAGATCTACTATAAATGGTCCATTGATTAATGGTTAGTAGCCATATCATATTAAGTTATAAAGGTTTGGAAATTACAGGGACTTAATTATAATTTTTCTTTTTAATGTTTTTTAGGTTGTTCGCCACAGCCACTGGTGGGAACCAAACTTTCTTTAACGGAAAATTTATTCTCTCATTTTGAAGGTTTTCTTTCTCTCTTGATGATGGAGCTTTTGTTTGCTTTTTTATTTTCTTTTCCTTTTTGTGGGTTCTCTCGGCCGATTAGACGGGCGGGAGGAAGATCTAGTATTATTGAAGAGGAAGAAGATGAATATATGTGTAAACGATAGGCTAGATTTATGTTTTGTAGGTACGGGTGTTTACGGTCTAGTTTGGTTCGGATTTGGACAAAACCGTGACCAAACCGATAGTAAACAGTTTTAAAAATTTAAAACCGAAACCAAGCCAATAACATATTCAAGCTGGACCAATCCAAATCGGATGGAACAGTTGGGCGGTTTAACGGTTTAAGTTTAAATTTGGGCCTCTGATACTTTTTGGCAATTAGGCCCACTGGCCTTTTCTTGGATGCTATTTGGGTCACAATTTGCCCTTTCTTGAGAAAAAAGAATGAAAAATATGTACAAATGAGTAGGAGCAGATTCGTACCTACATCATTCCCATCACATTACACATGCATAACCAGTTGTGTCACTTAGCAATTTGTTAAAAGTTATAGTCTGTAAAATATATGTATGAAAAAAAAACATAAGTTATATACACGGTCCGGTCCGGATTGAGCAACGGTTTAAATATTCCAAACCGAGACCAAATTGATTTTCTGTGGTTTATAACTTTTGAACTGCCGAATTAAAATGACAAATGAAAACCACCCATAAAACCGAACCATCAGCCGGTTTGGGCGGATTGACCAGATTGAACCAAACCATGAACATCCCTATTTGTAGGTGTTAAAGATTTGATAAACATTGTCATATTAGGCTAAGGAGCTCTTGTACCAAAATTCTACTATACTTTCTAAACAACCGGATAAAATTTATCACAGGTGATCCTGCCACAACAAAATATAGGATCCACAACAAAAATAATTTCTCTTTCCAAAATTATCCTTATGAAATCAAAATTATTTTATTCTAATCTCTCTTTTCTATTAGTTTTATCTCTCTTTCAATTTTAATTCTTGTCTTTTCTCACAAATTAAAACACTATCACAACAATCAATCAACATTCAACATATAAAATTCTTGGGACTACAGCTTGAACAAAGAACGAACGAGCACGCACTATGTTGACGACATTTGCTCAAATCTCCGTGTCACATGTGCTGATGTGCATCAAACACTAAAGGAGAGAGCTTTTTTTGGTAAATAAGCAGAGAGCTTATTTCGTCTTCCCCTAAGATCACTTAGCAGCTTATTTTTCTTACTTCTGCGGTGCCGCTCTCACAGCCTCCCCTCCAAAATAAAAAAAAAAAAAAACAAAAACAAAAAACAAAAAAAAAAAAACAAAAAACCTTCCTTGGACGGTAAAGGAGCAATCGGTTCAAAAAATTGTAGATCAAATTCTTTCAAGTAAACAAACCCAGAAAGTTGATGAAATTAAATCAAATAAGTCCACCACTTAAAATCAACCAAACTGAAGCAAAGAGTTCATTTACCCATTTCAATCTTTATTCTTGATTATGGAGTTAGTAGATTAGAACGAATCAATCCCCAAAAATAGCCCCCAAAACTCTCGAATTTATAACTTATGAGCAAACCATCCAAATATTATCAAAATCCGCTCTAAAAAATAAATTAAAAAATTGCTGCCGAATTCAATCATTAATGTTATGTTGCACTTCTTGTCCCAAGTTAAAAAGTAATGAAAATTTTATTGCAGTTGCCCCAGCAGTGAGAGTAGAAAACAAGAGGGATGCAATAAATTAGAGAAGTGAAAAAATAAAGACACAAAATAGAGGAAGAGATAGATTCGTTAACATAAGAACAAGGATGTCATTTTTTGACCTGGATGCTAGAAAATGTTCTGGTAAAATTATTTGCCAAAATTTGTAGAGATTCTTAACAGAGAATAATATGATTGAATATTACTTGTTTCCTAACCCTAAAATGGATAAATCCGTAAAGGTAAGTTTTAATTATGAATAGTTATGATTCATCCCTACATCCTGTCCTTGCAAATTTTTCCTGAATAATCATTATTTTACACTTAAATACGAAACATTGATGATATTTCAAATTTTCAATTCTCTAGTTTTTAAAATTTTTTCCGAGTTAATTCGTGAGAAAACCTTGATGATCCAATCATAAGATTCAAGACACATTCAACTGTCTAATGATTGTGAATGTAAAAGAAAAAAAATATTGTTTATAAATGTGAACGCAGTTTTCAATCTCAATCGATCATCATCAAGAATTTGTTGATGAGTCACATAACAGCGTTATATGCATGCTATTCGTTTAGCTAGTTATGATGCTTAATGTTTGCAGAACCAAAAATTATCCCCATAATAATAATAATAATAATTAAAAAAAGAATGACAGGTTTACTTTTAGACATTGTTAATGTTGTAATCTCAGTTCATTCATCTCGCCTTGGAATTTTTCATCTACCTGTTCTTGGTTCATAAAACAAAATACAGACGGAGCTCTCCAAGAAATATAAGACTAGTTTTAAATGAAGGGACTATAATTTCGATTACGTTATTTATATCATTGAGGGCGTATGATTTAACTACAGCAATTTATGTTGCGGCACTTCGTTTAGGCAAGATCATCATCCCTGCATTTTACAGAAGAGAGTGCATGGCAAGATACAAGGCAATGCAGTAGTGAATGATCAAAGTGGGTGATGCGTCAAATACAAAAAACAAAGTAACCAACCAGTTCTTGCAGCTATGCCGCAGCATTGAGAAAATTATTAGTCTAAAAACTTTTGGTTGCCAATAAGCTTAAATTTGGGCAACCCAAATTCTGCATCCACAACATTTCTTAATGTTTTGTGAGGGAAAGAAAGAAAGAAAGAAAGCTGACTGAAAGTAACACACTATCAATTGTACATTCTACAGTTAAACACATTGACATTCTTCGGGACGGGAGTCGTTGGATAGTAAGGATAAAGAAGTGTAATCACGAGGTCTTGTGTTCAACCTCAGATGGATCAAACCCAAAGGGAACCTAATCCACTGACACTGTTCTTTATTCTTGCTACTTGACAGAATCACTGTCTATAGAATAACTTATAATGACCATGATTGAAAGCTTATAACTTCATTAAGGTGTCTGTACTTTGCCAAAAACGTAAACATTGCTATGTCTATACAAAATTTTCTTGCATCTATCGCTTACCAAAGTTTCACTTGCACTATGTCCGCAATCTCCACAACTTGGATATCCTGTGCCAGTTTAAAGAAGTTGTAGATTTGAAACCTGATGATTGATATGTAGACTCCAAAACTTTGGACTATCTAGTACTGCTGCAGTGGAACATTTTAGTAAAAATCTTATGCAACAAAGTAAGAGAACATGTTATTAATCATATGGTACTGTTCAAAATGAAAATCAAAACAAGCGAATAGCCTAAAACGATTGAGAATTAGACCAAAGCTATTACGATAACAAGCAAAAAGCAAGGCACAGAAACATATATTAGACCAGAAAACTAAAGCTTCAATGGAAAAATATAGCTTCTTCCTGGAAAATGAATTTACATAAGTTACATGGAAACAGCAACATTAGTTTTCTCAGGAGAATCAGCAATAGCTGACAGTTATGAATTTTAATACCCTCTACCTTAAAGATATGCTTGCTTGTTAGAGATAAGAACCTGAAATCCTTATGTTCTTACATCAAGGGGGAAACTCGCTATTCGAAATTCGAAGGCTAGAAATAAAAGAACATTTAATCTTTGGGGGAAGAAGCAACGCATGAGTAACATGCCCCAAATGTATCACTTCATCCAAATAATCTTCTCGGCATAAGAAACAATAACAACAAAACTTTGCACAAGAAAGTGCTGATAATTACCACAAATGAATTCAAGGCAGCCTCAATGATGAAATTACTATATGCCTTCCACTTTCGTGTGGACAAGTCTCTGAAACTTAGATGACAGCTCCTTGTAAGATTGAATTTCAGATGGCTGGACTTTTGATATTCCAGCTCTTAAGTGCTTCATTGATATCTCTGAAGCATTTATATCATCCTGATTTCACCAAACGTGGTATCAGAGGAAAGCATATTGAAAATGTAAATGGGTTAAAATCTAGATTGTGTTCTAAATCTCTAGAAATGAATCAACTTTCATTTCAATGTAATACTACCTCCATAGCGATAATAGCTGCTTCACGGCAGATGCGGGATATATCAGCACCAGTATATCCATCTGCAAGAATGGCAAGCTCTCCAATTGACACATCAGAACTGCATGGCATTTTTCGTAGGTGTACGCGGAATATTTCCTCCCGGTCTTTTATGTCTGGAGGCCCCACATACAGCAGGCGATCAAAGCGTCCTTCCCCACAGCAACAAGACAAAACTTTATGGGTGAGCTACCAGAAGGGAAGAGAAAGAATTGAAGCACTAAACTATAGGCTAGAAAAGAGAGTCACCTGGTCTGAGAAGGGCAGGGTCAATTTTATCTGGTCGATTGGTAGCAGCAATGACAGTGACATTGAGTCTCTCATGTAAACCTAATTACCAAACAAAATGCACACAGAAATAATGAAAGTTAACGATGATTATCATGTTCCATGGAAGAAAGTTATTCACTTCAATAGTCATCAACTTTGCCTGTCAATAATCTCAGCAGCTCAATTGAGAAAATATAGCAACAAAATGATCAGTCACAGACAGTAGTATTTTCTCATGATCCAGTAATTACTGAATAACAGATTGGAAGGTTAAGATTTTTTAATACCATCCATTTCCACAAGAAGTTGACTCATAACACGGTCAGCAACAGAAACACCATCACTCTCTTTCCCACGGATCACCGCTAGACCATCTATTTCATCAAAAAATATGATAGATGGGGCGTTAGCCCTTGCCTTTGCAAATAGAGACCTTACAGCCTTTTCTGATTCACCAACCCATTTGCTGAAAAGTTCTGGGCCTTTCACTGCAAGAAAATTTAATCCAGCTTCAGAAGCTACTGCACGAGCCAGAAGAGTCTTGCTGCATCCTGGCGGGCCAAACATCAAAACTCCACTAGGGGGCCGAGTTCCAATGCGTGTGAAAGCATCACGATGCTTTTGAGGCCATTCAACAGCTTCCATCAGCTGTGTCTTGACTTCTTTCTGGCCACCAACATCTTCCCAGCGAACCTTAGGTATCTCCAGTATTATCTGGTTGCAAGAGAGATGAATCAATATGCTAAACAGTCATATTGATTGATACACTAGAACTGAAATTCATCCGAGGGAATATTCAAGGGCACAGAGACCTCAAAACTCACAAGCAGGATCAAACATCTTAGGCAACACACAAGGGATACACAGAAAATTTTATAAGTGGTCTTCTGAAGCTGAAAAGGATTGAATAAAAAATAAATAAAAATTGTAGAGTCCAAAACAACCATGGCAAAAGCAGAAAACATTTCAACAATCAAAGACATCCAACAAAATTAATGGTCCAACATTGGCGAAATCGATTTTCTTAACCTCAATATGATCTTTGGTGTCAGTGGCGAGAGCTGAAAGAGAATGGAAAGAGCGGAAATGATAAAGGTTCTAGACATTTATCGCAACAGCAGATCACAATTCAACATCCATATCAAGCAAGATTGGCTGATGTGAAGTACAGACATGGTTATAAACTACATAAATATTCACTGCGCTGGAAACGAGGCCAGAAAAAAAAAAATCTTTCCTGAGCCCCAGCTAAGATTAACACATACTGAAAATTAGCGAATATACCTCTCTCATGGCACTGGGCCGAACTTTCAACCTAGCCTTTTCAAAATCTTCAAAAGTCACTCTCAAAATAGGATCCTCTTGTACAAAAGTTCCTCCAAGTTCTGCAGCATCTGTACTTTCAGATGAAATATGCAAACTTGAAAGAGATAATGATAGCTCTTTCAAATTATTCTCTGAACGGTTACAGCAGCTATTCGTTTCACCACTAAAACTACAGTTTTGCAAAACACTAGATGACCCAAAGTTTGCAGAACCCGAAGCAATCTCTGCGTGAGCAAATCGTCTGAGACAAACCATAGCTGCCTCGTTGCAGAGGGCAGCAAGGTCAGCACCAACAAACCCATGCGTAGCTGTGGCAAGACTCTGAACTTCCATATCCAAGAGAGAGTTTTCCATGTCACTAAGGAGCACTTGCAGAATTTCAAGACGCTTTTTGGGCGATGGAACACCTATCAATAGTTGAAATTTGGGTCAAGAGAAAAATGCCGAGGCCTGTTTACTTTAATACGTAACCCCAAAAACAGGGAATGATAGAGAAGAAGTAATACAATGGCACCCTGAAGAAACTTTTAAAAGGTATAGGGAAATCTGATCGAGGATCCTTCATGGAATAGAGACAAATCACCTTAAAAGTTCACCTGAAAGAGTTGATACTAGATTCATAATGTGATGGCATTTGAGTATCTCAACTACCATTTCTTATTTCACTACAGAAATATAATCGAACTTGAAGATATATTATACTACTTTACATGATCTCATGATTATTATGGCTAAAAGGATAGAAGAAAGCTTCTTGACACATCAGAGTGAAGTCACCCTAGAAAGAAAAAATTACCAACCAAACACAAAAGAAAGAAGGGGAAATTTGGGTTTTTTCATAGAAATAAAACCAAAAAAAGTGATAAACAAAACTTATAGTTGATTAAATGAGATAGTCCTAGGATCATGCAGCTAAATTCTTATTGGGGCTAGAATGCAGATATGCTCACCTTGAAGCTATGAAAAACTAAAATAAAAGGTTCCGGTTTTGTGGTTACACGGATATTTTGATGTGATAAGCAAAACATTGTCATATAAAAAACAAAACAAGATAAAAGCCCGTGCACCATACAGAGGAAACAGTTTCAAATTCAAAAAAAACATGAATAACAACAAGCCAACACTTCAAGGAATTTAATTTCCAGCAAATCATTTAACATAAATGGATGAATACAAATTCTTCCTAAGGTAACTTCTGCCACTAAGCAATAAAATGGTTCTGATCATGTGAACAGAATTTATGTATATTTAGCTGCAACACTATGTTGTTTTATTAATGCTCTCTATCTACAATGGATGTATCATGCAGTGAGCATTTTATACCTTGTATTTTAGATGTGTTTTATCAGATATCTATCTTGACAGCTCTCATGTATTGGAAAATGATCTTAGCCTAGCGCCTCTTCTGGATTTCTTAAGAGGTTCAAGATCAAATACCATCAGGGAATTTCGGGGACGAGGAGGATTTTCCCACTTTCTCCACTGGGGCGAGTTTATCATATATATCTAAGAATATTTCGCATTTCACATCTGGTGAACTGTGCTAAATATGATCTAATTGGTGGCTTCCCATTAACTTTGCACAGTTTTTACATCTTATGCAGGGAGGATATATAACAGACTGCAGTCTGCAGAAGGAACAAAATGTCTAGCAAGTAGTATAGCAACGTCAAAGCAAATTGCAATACTAACCAAACTCTCATTCTTCATCTCTCTAACTTTATGAATAGACAGCACTTGCGATACCAGTAGCAAATCTCAATAACAACAATCTCTATCAACACACTCATCTTTGTGGCAGTTCATTAAGTGGTGAAATCGTGTTTTGTAGGGTACGACTTTCAAGAATACAAGTTTGACAAAGAAATACTGGGTGATGAATAATGATAATAGGACAAGAGTCGCAACTGACAATTATCTGTGCTACGAAAGTATATGCATTTGGCTCGTGTAACACAAGTAATGGAGCCACAACTACAAGGATTATGTTTAACAGAAAGCTTGTCAGCACGCACACAAGAATGATAATACAAATAAGCATCAAATACCTCAAAAAGGCCAACAGTAAAGATCCAAACTTACCTATTTCCATTTCCCGGTCAAGCCTTCCAGGGCGCCTAAGTGCAGGCTCTATACTGTCTGGTCGATTTGTCGCGGCAATGACAACTAGTCCATCAGTTCTGCTAATACCATCCATCAAATTTAACAGAGTGGCCACCATTCTTTGAGAAAGCTCTTCGCTTCCATCTTTACGTGCAGGTGCAATAGCATCCAACTCATCAATAAAAATCTACAATTATAGATTTCACAATTCAGGACCAGCTGGTAGGAACAACATGTAAAAAAGCTTAGAACAACTCATCTACATTACCAGGTCACAAATTTATAGATAGAAGTAACATCCAGAAGCTTTGAAGTAAAGTATAGAAACATATACTGGGATATGTCACAGCTCACTGGATACTCAAATATCTATCAAATAAGATTTACACTACCCAGCAAGCCACATTGATGGGGAACAGAGGCTGAATTGAAATTAGACGAATTAGGCAAACCCTAGCTATAGGGATTTTAAAGAGACAGAGTCTTTGGAAACTTTAAAAGCTTGGTTTTTATAAAATATATGAAGAAAACGTCAATAACAAAGCTGCAGAAGGTCTCTATTTACAGTGAGGTTCTGTTTATTCCTAATCCTACTAGGCTTAATAATTTCCTAAAACGTAGGACTAAAACTAACGTTCAAATAAAATACTTAATAAAGAAATTACTTAAACTAATTTAATAATAAAGCTATTTCCTAAATCTTCCTGCATCACACATACTTTCAAGCTAGAATCTAACACAGGCCACAGATAATGTCAAGTTAGCTCGAATTCTAATTTATGGGGAAAAAAAAGTAACATGAAAAGAAATAAAGTTGGTGCAGTTTCTCGCAAACAGATTATAATTTCTGCCCATCTAGAACAAAAATAAGTCCCACTATGTTATTTCGGAGACGCCACCCTTCTTGCCATTTGAGTGCTACACCAAAAATAAAAGATAAAAGTAAAGTAAGCTTGTGACCCTACAACAAAGATGTATGAAAATTTAGGTGCAGTGACCTTCCTGGACATTGCTGAAGTAAGTTGCATCATGTTTTGCTGCATCAACAGTTAACTACCTTCTTAGGGCTTCCCAAAAAGGGATGAAAAGAAAACAGTGGAAGAATGCATTGTAAATCTGTACTCTGTACTAGGATTTCCCAAAGAATATGATAAAATGGGCAGGTATCAACAAAAAAGAAATGGACATATACATCAAAACCATGGAAAGGACCAATATGTGTACCATTGTCAGCATTGCATAACCTGCAGAAACTGAAAACTTGCAGTCATATTTCGGAGTTTTTGGCAACTCGATTTACTTAGAAAGGTTATGGCACCAAACCTATAACTTGACACATCTAAGAAACTTCATGGATTAGATATGATATATAATTAAATTTAATCAAATAATTTGTGTGAAAGATCAGGATCTTCTTTGAAAAATGAACAACTTATTCCTCTCCATTAACTATTCTGAATTCCTGTCAACCATCAGCTGTATAAAGTAGTCTAGGTGTAAAAAGCCGACAGAATTTGGAGATATGTTCTTAAACTGAAGCAAATGAAGCAGGATTAGTGATATTGTCTCTTCTGTGCAGTAATTGTCTTGAATCCCTATCAGATTCACCTGGATTAAATAGCCTCCAGGTTTCGAAAAATTAAGTGAAGTCATAACAATCAGCTCCAAAAGCGAAAATGAACAAGTTTTGTAATATTCACATAGCACAATCAGAGTCACAGATTTCGTTCCTTAGGGTGATATACAGAAAATAATTACCAGATCACCTGGAAAAGGTATATGTTCAAAAGGATAAAAACAAAACACAGAAAAAGGTAGAATGCTTGGAAGTTTATAAACAATTTTAAATCACAATACTCCACAGCATGCTGGCCCTTAAAGATCAAATTTCAGCAAATACCTGCCTTCCCTGCCTTACGTGAAAGATTTTGTGGAGCGTCATCTTAAATTGATGTTTAATTTGGCAGGGATACAGAAAAGCAGAGACTAACTAATTCTTAAGCAAATATTGAAGACAAAATCTTCAACACCTGAGGAAAATCACTAGAAAAATTTAAGGAAAAGAGCTCTTAGCATTAGCAAAATCACTGTACTAAATTCATGCATCAAAATAACAGTTTCAATTAACAGTTCAAAAAAATTGTTAGATGAATATGAATTTCAGGGATACAAAAGAAGATATGTTACCACAGCAGGTAATGCTTTGCTAGCCGCATCGAAGACCTCATGCATGGCTCTTTCACTCTCGCCATAATACTGACTTATGATTTCAGGCCCATTAATAGGAAATAGATTCACGCCAGCATCAAGAACACATAACCTGACCAGGGAAGTTTTTCCAGTCCCAGGTGGACCGTGAAGCAGCACACCTTTTGTAGGTCGCAAACCCATCCTAAAAGTTTGTATTGAGATCAGGAAATTTTGAAGGATTAGCATAAAATTCCATGACTTATGGCCAGCTCACTCCAGAAAGAAAAGAATCCTGGAGTTTATCTTTTATATTTTATTTTTAGTTAACTGTAAGTCATAATCTCCAAATCGAAAACTCCTGTAACTTTATCCTACTAGCAGTAACCAAGTGGATACAAATTCATGTCATTGGGCTAAATACCCTATATTCCACCATAAGCACAGCAAAGCTATAAGAAGTGTCTAATTTTGATTCTTGCTCATCAATTTCAAAAGGGAGATCATATTGAAAAAATAAATAGAAAAGTTAAACGTGTATGATAATTTAAAAAAAGAAAGAAAAATTCAAGTGGCCAATAAAAAAACAAAAACCTTTAGAAAAATTAAACCAAACAAAAAGCAGTGATTTTCGATGAAATTTTTTTCCCCTCTGTTTATCATTTGAAACATGCATCTAAATTAGCCAAAGAGATATATCAGTATGACATTTTTTTATTAACTAGCATGACTGGGGGTGTAAATATTTTGCCCTCCAAAGTGAATATTATTTCAAAAGGATGATTCATGATTTGGGCCAGTAGCCGAGAAACTGCCAAGACAGACACACATTTCCAAATCCAGGATTTGGAAGTGGGAAGAGTATGCATGGCTTAACAAGTCACATTCAATTCAACCACCAGAGTTCAGGGTGCAGAAGGAAAACAGGTGAATCCCATTCCTCAGAAAAATACATAAGTGGTGAAGGAACATAAAGAACCATTCCTGCATAAAATTGACAAGTGCAAAGAGAAGAAACAAGGGAGATGATCTTGTAAAATCTCTAAATAGTCTCCCCAACACAGAATATTTTCTGGGAATTCTAGGTTTTTCTATCTATGAAATATATCAAGAGACTGTGGTCTTAAACAATCATATTAATTCTGAAGTTATCCACCAATCATGTCAAAAGCAACCTAAACATCAAGTTATCAAAGGTTTTTAGTCACAATGAGTAACAAACTTATTCAAATGATACCAAGAACAGGGTGATTGTCCCTCCAAAAATATATTGTACAACATACCTGGCTAAATCACACCTAACGGCCGATGAAATGACTATTTCTTTTAGTACAGCAAACTCCTGAGAAAGGCCTCCCAGCTTTGGCATATCGGCTGAGAGCAAAGCTCCTTTTAACATTTCTGATGAAGAAATCCTAGGTAAAGCAACATTAACTTTTGTTCCATGTTGAACCAAATAAGCATCTCTTGTACAGTTTTGTTTTTCCACCTTTTCGGGTATCATGTTACAGTTGGTTTTCTCAGCCAGATTATGAATATTATTTTCCAAAGACAAATTGGAAGCAGATACAACTAGGAAAATACAAATCCTTGAAAGTATTGGAATGGCTACAAAATTTCCAAGGAGCAAAATACGAGAAAACAACCAACCAACACAACAGGTCTCAAAAAGTTTCCTCACTTTATCATCACCAAGATTATCCACATCAAGAATATCATCTAAAGACTCTTGCGGCTTGGACAAAATGGATCCTGACTCTTCGAAGTCTTGTCTTGTTAACTGGCCACTATTGAAGGACCTAAGTTTAGATTGAGGGAAAACTGGTGTCTTTGGTGATGAGATCTCACAGGTTCCATCCTGAATCTGTGTTGTTTCTGCCAAAAGGCGGTTGGAGGACACACTACTGGGAGTCAATTTACTATTTGAATATACAAGAGATAAACCTATATCCTTGCCCTTACACAATGAGAGATAAAACTCATTAAGGCTGTGTGTTTTTTTGCATTCACTGAAACCCATGAGTGGGTGATGTTGTACAGGATTAACATACACAGTGCGGCCTGAAGCAGGACAACCCATCGTAAGTAATAGGTTTGAAGACAAGCGCACGGCATTTTTAACAAGCTGCAAAAAAAAAAAAAAAGGAGCAGTTGTAATTTAATTAAATTTGAACCAAATCAGGGAACAGCCATACAAATTCCAGAAACAAAGATAGTAACTTAAGATTAAACTTGTGTGTGCATTGGAGAAACAGGAGGCTGAGGAAAGTTGTTAAAAGGGGTTGTTGATTCCTAGATTCGCCATTCAAACAGTGGAGGCACAAAAGTTGGAACCAAATTACTATCCCTTTCGCTGGAATATACTCTCAATGCACGTTTCCAAGGGCACTGGAAATCCCGTGAACATCGGTCAGAAGATGGAATGAGGAAAGCTAATTTTGAGATATATCAAAACTTAATTTTTCAGTAAAGAACTAGGTCCAATCTTTTTAGATAGGTTTTCACATTTATTGGCCCAATATTTTCCAGAACTAGCATCAAAAGCTAGCCAAAACATACTTACAGACTCTCTCTCTCTCTCTCTTCCTCTAAAATATAGTATTGTACCCTTATAACTTTCTGATATAACAGACAAGATTCTTTTGGTACACTAACTGAAATTTCTGTATCACTTTTTATTCTTAGTTGACTCCACAAAACAATCAAACAAAGAAGACTGCAGAGTCAAACTATGAAGTTTTCTAAGGTAGTGCCACTGATAAGACCTGTTAGTTTATCTTAACCACCTGGTTCAAATAAAGCTAGGAATCTTATTCTTTAAGCCTTTTTAACTTTGTTCCATCCTTCACCAGACGATCCACCATTTCATTATTATCTCAGGTAATAGATAAAGGACAGCTATAAACTGTTTACAGGATTATATGATCAAACATAAAGATCCATGCTGATTACAAAAGTTTTCCACTGTGACATAGGCACATTGACTTTCCAATATAGGACTTGAGTCGGTAAACATGCCCAACTTACACCCCAAGATCATTCATTGATAACAGTGTTGAGGTCATTAAAATGATTGGTCATTTACAGAAGCAAGGCATGCAAAAGAAGACTTTAAGCAATGACTTTCGAGCTAAAAAAAAGGCCCTGCCGAAGGAACAACCTCAGAATCCTATTTTAACCAATGATATGAGGTTCCATTAACCACAAAAAGAAACATAAACACATGAGAATTTTCTGCAAACCTTACTGGAAGGGAAAGCAGCTGCAAGGGCAAAGTAACAGCCTGCTTCATCGGCCAGTCTTTCAGCAATGACCATCCCGAAATTCATTGCAAACTCATCAGCAAATGAGCATAAAGGATAGTGATTGGAAACTTTAGTTAAATTAGCAAGGGAGACCTGTCAATCAGGGAGACATAACAGGTTCAAAAACAAATACCATGTACCCAGTAAGACAAGGAATATCAACAGGATCAAACAGAATCATTTATGCGAGCACATACAGTAGTCAACATAATTAAATAGCCTCATAATGCATCCCTGAATCTCGCATTAACTAATTACACCTAAAACCCAACTGTAAATATATAGCATAATGTAGCTTTCATGGTACAGCAACATAAGACAAAAGAGCTCAGAACCAAGAGGAAGTCCAATTTCATGGGAAAAAAATACAATAATAAAGTTGAGAAGAGGAAGAAGAAACTGGAAAGGACTGTGAAAAAACATTTACCGATACAATTGAACCAGGAGCAACAGAAGCTGCAAGCATAGCGGACTCCGACAACCAAATTTTACACCCTTTGGAGTCTAATCCCTCCATTACTGAAGCAGCAGTAGTGGTAGCAGAATCACTGTGGACTTTGCCAATGAAGGCGGATTTAGAAATAAAACACGGGAATCGCTTGGAAACTACTTCAAGAGAGCATAAGAGCTCATCTTCGTCGATATCATCATCTGGGTTCTGACTGTGACGCGGTGAAGAATACGCAGCAGACGATACAGAGGCCGAAAATTGGTCAGAATTTGAGCTTGATTGCAGCCTTGAGGAGGCTGCTTTTTGCTGTTTTTTGCTCGTCGAAGGCATTTTTCTGCACAAAGAATACTTTTCTTTTTTCCCTTTTTATGCTGAATTGAAGAAAGCAGGCGGAGGGAGAACGAGCTCAAAACGTTAAACCCTTTTTCTGTTTCTCAGGGTTTAAGGACCAAATTCCGTGTAGGCAATTACCAAACTATTATTACTAGTCAAAATAATTTTCTTTCTTTTTCCTTTTGCCTCAAATGACAGTGGCGTTAAAGGGGGAAAGGATTCGTATTTTTCATATTCGTTCAGTAGTCTTCATTTTTTTCCTTTCCCACCCCACCCCCAAAGTGCAGGTAGTTTTTGACAATATGAAATCATTTCAATTTTTTTTTTCCTATGCGTTCTTTTCTTAATTCTAAGTTCTTATTTACTTAATGAGTTTGGAAGATGTAGCAAAAGACAAGTGTTGGTATAAATATTGTAGAGGTCCATAGTTTGTGACTAAATGAAGTCTTCCGGGGAATGTTTTAGTTTCTTGTTACTAGGTTTAGCCCTCTTTCACTGTACCAAAAAAGAAATGAAAGCTCCCTAGGAATTGTATACAAGGGACTTAATCTAAATGGTAAAAATATTTCCAAGCCTATCAATTCCAAACAAAATCTGTAAAGAAATTAACACAATCTTATAAGATTGATCATTCTCATGCACATTTCAAATTACACTGCAGAAATTAACAAGAGTTTGAGAAAATGACGGTTGATACTTATAGCATATATAAGAGTTTAAGGAATCAAAATTTCTTTATAGTAATTTTTTTTGTCACAAGTGATAATCACAAGTAATGAGATTATGTTGTATAATTACAATATTTACATAAGATAATCACATGTAAATTTAAGTAGTTATTTAGTTACCATAATTAGATGTGTTGTAATTTTGTATAAATGTACTATACAGTTATTTTTACAGAATCAATGGAATCAATTCTTCATGGTATCAGAGCCTAAAGAAAGCCCTAAACCTATTTTTTTTTCTTTCTGGCCGCCGGCTGAATTTTTTTTTTTCAGCCATTGAAAAATTTCGGCCGTTGATTGTTATTCAGCCATATCAATCAGTTTCTTCATCGTAAATCATGGTTGAAATAGAATCTTCTTCACGCATTACGGCAACGCCATTGAATCAGCAAAATTTTACTGCTGAATCGACTGCCATTGACACGAAGTCTCCTTTCTTCGTCCCTCAATCGGATCATCCTGGTCTGATATTCGTTACTAATGTCCTGGTTGAAACTGAAGACAATTACTTCACATGGCGCAACACCATGCTCAATTGCTTGCAGTCCAAAAACAAGACAGGGTTCGTGGATGGAAAAATCGCACGACCGGACGTTAATTCGGCGAATCATCAAAGCTGGATTCAATGTAATGTCTTGGTGAAATCCTGGCTGACAAACTCAGTCTGTAAGGAGCTACAGACATCTGCTGCTCATACTGAAACATCGGAGGAGATCTGGAACGACTTGGAGGAACGATTTACCCAGGTTATTGCACCTCGGGTTTACGAGTTGCGCCGATCCATCGCATTGTTGCAGCAGGAAAAGATGGCAACATCTTTTTACTACGGGAAACTGAAATCGGTTTGGAGTGAACTGCAAAATCTTCAGCCGTCTCCAACGTGTTCATGTGGTGGCTGCACTTGCAATCTCAGTCAGCGCATCAAGACTCTTCATGAAGCCGCCAAAGTTTATGATTTTCTTATGGGGTTGGATGAAAATTATCGGACTGTGCGTTCTCAGATTCTGAGTCAAGAACCTCTGCCGACGTTGGGACGTGCTTATGCAATCGTTGCATCTGATGAGAAGCAGTGGACGGTGGCGGATTCTTGGATGCCGGTGGTTGAAGCTGCTTCCTTAATAGCGAAATCACCTCAGGCAGCAGTCCGTCGAGATGCCAATCAGCGCCAACAGCAGCCTCGGTTCTGTTCCCATTGCAACAAGGCAAACCATACTGAGGACACCTGCTATGCTATTCATGGCTATCCCTCCAATTGGAAAATTCCGAAGAATCGAACTGGTGCTCAAAAGCCTGCTGCTGCCCGACTCTCTTCTACTGGGAATGCCTCGGTTTCACTTGGTCAAGTTGTGACCTTTGCTGCTACTGCTGATCACTCTACATCATTCGGGCTTCCATCATCCATCACTCCGGCTCAAATTCAACAAATCATTACCCTTCTCGGAAGACAACAATCTGCTCCAGCCGGTACTTCTCAACCATCCGGTAAGAATGAGGATTGGGTGGCCGATTCCGGGGCGACTCATCATGCGTCCCATATGATTCATTTGCTGGTTGATCAATCTAAGCCACGTGATGATATTTGCATTCAGATTCCTAATGGTGACAGGGTTTCAGTTTCTAACATTGGGGATATTCACTTTGGTGGAAATTTAATTCTCAATAATGTGTTAGGGGTGCCAAATTTTCATTTTAATTTGGTGTCTGTTAGTCAACTAACACGAGATCTCAATTGTTTTTTTACCTTTGGGCCTGATTTTTTCCTTTATCCAGGACTTAGCCTCGAGGAAGCTGATTGGAGTGGGTAGGATGCGCGATGGGTTGTATTACTTGGAACCAATGAAAGGCGTCGATGGAAAAGCAAGACCTAGGGCAATGGTGGCAAGAAGAGGAGGCATGACTTCTCTATGGCATCTCCGGCTGGGACATCTTCCGGTTAATCGCTTATCACTGGTGCCAAGTTTTTCAGCTGTTTCTGATTCTTTCAATAATTTTGTTTGTGATGCTGGTGGGTTGTCGAAGCCCCCAAAATAATTTACCAACTTAAACTGTAGATAGGATAAGTCAGGTCGATCCCACAGGGACGGTTAAACTTCAAATAACCGGAACAGGAAATTAGACAAACAAGAAAGAAAGTTGCAGAGTGCCACTCACTTGCACAAGTGGGTAAAGTCACTCAGGCAAGTGACTCTGCACAACTGAAGACAAAGAAAGACAAATGGAACTTCACTCACGGGAGTGAAAATTCCGACTCTAGGGACTGACTCAACAAACTGGATATTCATTCTCTTTTCCCTATGTAATCAAGTTGTGATATTGCACTCTTTTGGTATGAATTCATGCTCATTCAGGCACTTATATATCTCTAAGTCACAGATTTTTCCTAGAGGTATCTTTATGAACTCAATTAAACTATTTTCTAATGATTAATCAAGTCATAAAGTCATGAAGTTTTCAAGCCTTATATGAATGCTTATGCTAACCAAGTATATTCCTATCTCAATTAGAACCTTGGACTGTTACCTCCAAGTCATAAGTTGAAGCTAAATGATTCTGAACCTTGTTTACCCTTCCGGGATTCACTTAGTTCTGTGCACAATCAATCAAATGGCCAATTTAATCAAGAGGTAGATGAAAGTTTTAACTTCAAAACACAAAATCATCCGAATGCATTTACAAACTTAAACTACATAGGTTCCAGAGAATGAAATCTAATTAACCACACATACAAACTACAGAAAATACAAGAAAAGAAAGAAAGCATTGAGAAGAAGCAAATCTGGATGGCTGAGCAACAGGTCACTCGCCTGAGTGACAAAGGTCACTCAGGCGAGTGAGGTCTGTTACTCCTCTTTTTCTGCTACTGGACTTCTTCTTCCTTTGGAGTTTTTTCCCCTCTCTACTCTCTTCTTCTCTCTCTGTTGTGTTTTGTGTGTTGTATGTCCACTCAGATATCCGTTCATGCTGGGAATGCAGCTCCTTTTATAGAGCTTTGAAGCCGGTTCTTCTTCCAAGATAGCCTCCCCATGCTTGTGAATTATTTATTCCTCCCAATGCTTTGTGTCTTGAATCCGAGAATTGACTGGTCTCTTGCCCTTCTCCAGCACTGGTATCAGCTGTAACATTGATCATCATGGGCGGTTGGGAGTCTAACCAAGGGGACAAGCATGCCCTTGGATGGGACACACTTATTAACTCCCAATGTGTCTTGTGTCTTGGAGTTGCTTTTTGACCAACTCAGCCCTCATTTTAAATTGGAATCAGCAGCCCAATTATTTCTCCATAAGCCCTCATTTTCAGCATTTGTTCACTCCGGTCCTCACCTATTTAGAAACACAAAACTAGCTATGTAAAATGAAGAAAATCTAAGAAACACCCCTAATTTCTAACTAGTTAAAGAGCAAAATTGCAATGCTTTTATGTAACAATTTAACCATTATCAGATGCATGCTGTAGTGCAAAACAAACTAGATCGCCTTTTCCATTGAGTGAGATTAAGTCATTGAACAATTTTGATTTGATTCATTGTGATGTATGGGGACCTTATCATACTCCATCTAAGTCTGGTGCACATTATTTTCTTACTATTGGGGATGATCATAGTCGCACTACATGGATTTTTCTCATGCGTCAGAAGTCTGAGACCAAACGGTATTTATTGTTATTTTTCAACTGGGTTAGAACACAGTTTGATGCTAAGATTAAGGTGTTTAGAACTGATAATGGTCTTGAATTCAGTCATTCCACCTCGTTGACTCATTTTATGGATAATGGAATTGAGAAGCAAACTAGTTGTGCATACACGCCTCAACAGAATGGAGTGGTCGAACGTAAGCATCGTCATATTTTAGAAGTTGCTAGGGCATCGAGGTTCCAAGAAAACTTGCCAATTAGTTTTTGGGGCGAATGTGTTCTAACTGCCACAGATCTCATTAATCGCATGCCATTGTCCTCTTTAAATAATAAAACTCCATATGAGATTCTGTTCGGTCAAAAGCCATCATATGAACACTTGCGCATTTTTGGGTGCCTCTGCTATATACATGATTCTACAAAGTCCCGAGACAAATTTGCATCTTGCGGTCGCCCTTGTGTTTTTGTTGGGTATCCCTATGGGCAGAAGGGTTATCGTGTTTTTGATCTTGATCAAAAGGCGATCACTACTTCTAGGGATGTTCACTTCTTCGAAGATGTTTTTCCCTACTCTTTGGATTCTCTTCCGGTGTCTACCTCAGATCCACCTAAGACGAATATTGATCTCACTTTTGTATC